GTGGGGTTTAATATTGACTTTCATGTATTTTTCAATTATATTATATCAACTAATTTTTTGTTTTTTAATTGAACTCATTTATTTGATTACTTGTGGTAAAATTATATTTTTTATTTTAAAATTTCATGGTGGAGAGTTGGGTAATTGAACTATAATTTTATATTGGGTGTTTAACAATGATAAATTATCTTTTGATAAATGTATTTTCATTAAATAATCAACTTAAAATTATATATAAATAATTGAATTAAAAATAAAATAAAAAACCCAAGTCGAACCGGTTGAACCGGTCCAAACGTGACTCAATTGGTTGTCCGGTTAGATGCCCTGTCCAGTTTTAATAAAAAAATCCCTAACATATTTTAACTAACTAAAATGCCAAATATCGTTTCAATTTTACTGGTATTGTTTCGACTTCAAAACGTGATTTTAAACATTCACTCCAAATTCGGCAAAATTCAAATCACAAACTTTGTAGTTCTTTGACTTGGCTTTATAATTCAACTTGAATTACATAAACTAAATGTTGGTGAGAGAGATGTGCACGAAAGACAATGTTTGGAAGCGTTTTGGAGTTTATTTTAATTTCATTTTGAGGAAATATGTTTTGGGGGGAGAATTTGAAAATGAAAGTAATGTTTGTTTGTATTTTGTAAGGAGACAAAATACACTGTAGCAGTCACATTATGTTTCAAAGTGTTGGAAAAAAGTATTTTAGAAGAAAAGAATTAAAAGATGAAGTGATATATATTTGTTTTTTAGTAAGACATTTTTACTATAGCAAGTCAAATCATTTTACTGTAGCAGTCACATCATGTCTGAAGGATAGAGAAACTTTTAAAATTGTTTTGAGAAAATTATTTGAAAAGTATAATAAATATAATTTTGTTTCGGAAAATCAATGAAAACAAAATCAAAACACTACCAAACAAGCATTGATGTTTTGAGGCTGAGAATTATTTTTTTATTTTATTTTTTGGTCAAGAAAAATATTGTTTTTCGTGTTATGTTAAATTTAATCGTCGGATTCAGGATTTTCTTTATATGGGGGCTCTTTTGCAATTTAAAAACTTTTAAGGGTGAAATGGAAGTTAAATTAAGTGTTGGTATAAAAAGAAAAGCTACACTTTGGCTTATATAAATACACAAGTTCGATAAGAATACGAATTCAAAAGCCGGCACTTGGATTACCCGAGCCAGCAGCTACAACACCCATGCCGCCATCCGCTGACCTGACGTTAGCAATTTCCCCCTTATCACTAATAGCCACGCTATCACCATTCAACTCCTTCACAAGTTGATCAATCTTTCGAAACTGATAAGGCCACCTTGCGTTGTACAGGAATTGCCGTAGGTCAAATCTATTATCCTCGGGCGAGTAACTCTGCAATTTGCATTTAATGTTAATTAAAAAAACTACTGCATTCGTTTATCAAATCAAGATCCCGATAAATTTATATCAACACGAAGAAAAGAGAGTAAAAAGTAGTTACCTCCGCGTGATACGAAGGTGTTAGAACGGTCATTTTGTGCCTGTTGATAGAATAATACTTGAAGAAATGTTTCACTTTGTCGCCTATTTCCACTGGAGTTAACTTCGTTCCCCATTTGTAACAGAGATTCTTCAACCAAAGACAAAAAATGAAATTAAGAAATTATCCAGAATAAATACTTTTTTTTTTAATTGCAACTAAGTGGTTAAAAGGGCTCGTTTTTTAAATTAGACACAAACCTTAAACATGGATACAGGCCCACATCGGAAAATTTTACGCATCCTCCCGTATACCGAAAGTTCTTCATATGTCATTCCCATATCCACTTCATCCAGCTTGCTCACATAAAAATATATGCAGTCAGTTCCTTAATTCAAAAATTCATTATTTACTAGTCATATATATAGAGTAAATCACGGTCACCCCTGAGGTAAGGTTAAATTACGAAAAAATCCTTCATATTTGGGTAATTACAAACATTCCCCTCAACTATGATTCTTCTTACACGTCCACCCTTGCGATGTCAATTTAGTTGGAATCTTCTTGATCATGTGGAATATCCCTCTAGTTTTGTACCCGTTTTTACCCCCCTTCCCAAGCTCCATATTTTTGAAAAAAAAATGGATCCGAAAGATGGGTCCCTTGGTTGGAAAAAAATCAAATTGGGGGGGGATCCAGAAAACTGCTTTTTTGGCCAAAAACCGAGGTTTGTGGGAAAACCTTTTCCCCGCCATCCTAAAGAATTATTGTTGAATTTTGACCCCCATAAGGGGGGGACGGGGTAAAAAAAATTCCTAGTTTATAGGGGGGGGTTGTATTTTCCCCAACACTCTGGGGGGGTTTTTCTAATTTTTTAACTACTCCTAGGGGGGGGGCC